CCAAAGTCGAGAATTGACCTCTCGTCCATTTCCATAATGGTTTCGTCCAGCATGTCTGTCTTTGGTGTTGAGACACCGGTGATGGGCTTTTGTTTTGGTGACACCTTCTTGATGGGCCCGTTTGCGATGGTGGTGAAGTTAGATTGATCAACAACTGGCCGCGGGGTCGCTGCAGGAGCCGCCGGCGCAGGTGTTGGAGCGTCGCGTTTTATTTCGTGGACGGCAGGCTTCAGGGCAGGGGTTTGGTTGGCGGGGGTGGAAGTCGATGTCTTGGGAACGTAGGACGGAGAAGGCGGTAACGGTGTGGCGTCGGGCGCCTGCAATCGCGGTTGAGGCATGGCAGGCGGGTAGGCCAGGTGAGATTGGCTGGGCGACGGCTTGGAGGCGGGCTGAGGCTCGATCATGCTGGCAATGGACGGCGAGCGATGGGCCGGCGCGGCCAGGATTGCGCGCGGCGAGCCAGCAGCTGAGGAGTAGTGCGAGGTCATGGTCTCTCGGACGGGATCATAATTGCCCCGGATGGGATCGTAGCTCTGGCCGCTGGTGCGCACGGGAATCGGGCTGGTGATGCTGTTTGACGGCGACCGGGTCGCAGGCGGCGGGTCGGCGTTGAGGATGCTCTGCATGGAGCTTGGATAGCCCTCGCGCTTCTGCATCTTGGGCGAGTATCGCCGGTCCGGGAGCTGCTGAAGTTGATGCTGCGGCGTCGAAGTCAGCGAGTCGCCCAGCTGAGCGTGCAGCGACGGGGATGATGACGGCGGTCCCGTGCCTGCAGGGGCCAGCGGCCTGGGGCTGGGGGCGTCGCTATCGATATCAGACGCCGGCGCCAGCTTTCTCTTGCGCTGAACGGGCAGTGTCGTCTCTGCCTCGCGAGACTTGCGTGGCCGGCGCACCTTGGGCTGGTCTGCGGTCTCTGCCGCGGTCTTGGGCTTGACGACGGAGCCGGGCTTGCGTCCAGGTTTCTTGCGCGGGACTCCGGCGGCTGTTAGTTGCACCCATTCGCCGTCGATGAGCGAGTATCGTTTTGGAGTCTGTGTACGTGAACCGGGCGCAGGGCTTGCGGTGCCTGGCGGCGGTGGCTGCGGCGGCGCAAACTGTTGCGCATATTGCTGCGAGTTCTGGTCGCCGCTGACGACGATTTGGTCCATTTCGGGTCCTGAGCGCTTTGCAGAGGGTTCGGGACGGCGGCCAGCCCCGTGAGAGGGTGACCCTGGTTCTGAGAGGGAGCCTGAAGGGGGAGACGAGAGTTCGCCGGCGGAAGAATCGAATCGCGTGGATGCGTCTCCAGCAGCAGCCATATTAGGGCCGACGCGAAGTCGGAAGCGAGAGGCTGAGATGGCCGTCTAGTAGTGTCGAATTTTAACCTGGGGGCAATGCAGCGTATGACCAATCAAGGATGCAGATATGCGGCGAGAAGAGAAGAGATGCTGGAGATGGACAACTTTCGTGAAGATTCAGTGGGATTCCTCGGCGTCGATGGCTTTCGATGGCGGTATTTTCTTCCTCGGGAAAAATAATAATTGTAGAATTAAGGATTAAAACATGAATGCTCAAGAATGAATAAAGGAAAAAGAAGAAAGAAATTGAACAAGGCAAACACCACACACAAACGGCCCGTCGGTCTGAACAAAGACAGACAAATGAACAAAAAGAGAAAGAAGAAAAAAAAGAAGTTTGAATCGCAGCCTTGCAAATGGCGCGTCAACAAGGCTGCGGCCCTTCACAAGCAAGCAGGCAGGCGATGGTGTGCAGAAAGTGTGACGTTACGTGAGTGGCCGGAAGCCGGACTGGGGGGGAACTGGAAACGTGAGGAGTGGAGCCAGGCTGGATTTGCGAATAGCCTCACAATCGGCCTCTTGGGCGAGCAGCGCTGGCGGCGGGCGCTGGCGGAGGCTGCGCGGCGGGCGGGCAGATGCACTGAGGCTGCGGGGCTGCGGCGGCTGCAACAGCTGGAGGCGCCTGCAACGATTGACGGCAGCTGCGTCTGGCGATGGCGACGGCGCTGCGGACGTGCGAGATTGATGGCTGAGCAACGGCGATTTTGCGCTCAAAGGCGGTGTTGGGAGAGGGAAAATGGTAGGGAAAAGGGGAGAGTTCCGAAGGGGGCTGGCGAAAAGAGGCGGGAGGGGGGAATGATGGGGGGTTTTTGGCTCGATTTGGGGGTGGCGGCAATATAGCAGTTGTGCTTTTCTCCCAGAAGACCAGAAAAACGGGGCACGGCCAGCGCGTGGTTTGGGAAAACCTCAGCAGCTCGGTTGACTTCGGTCACTGGCGATTACACGGGATAATGCAATGGAAATGCTAATCAGGACAGCATGGGGATGGCATGGGATGGATGCCTTACACGTACAGCTTCGAATTCGGCTGGGCGTGGGGCTGGGGGGTGTAGCGGTATGAAATAATATGGAATACTGATACTGCTCTTAGTAGGTGCTGGCAGCAGGAAACCAACTCAGCGTAGCACGGCTAGTCTAGTAATAATTGCTCGTCTCTTTTTGCTTTATGCTGGCCGGTTGGCGCACAGTATGGAGCACGGAGCGTCCAGCAAGCGGAATTGATAGACGTGGTACCACGGCACAAGTACCAGGAGCCAAAGCCGGCAATACTGGGAAAAGAGAGAGATGCGAGCCGAAGTTGGCGCGGGTCTGCAATTAACTCTTATTTGACAGGCTAGGCCAGGGTCTCTAAAAAAAAAGGGAACGAATATGCAGCAGCGCCAGGACCGGGGCTGGGCCGGCCAGGGTTTAGCGTCGGATCACGGGACTAAGGCATCTGCACTAGGCTGTAGACAGAAGATGCTGCGTATGGGACGCCAATCGAGCTTCTTTTTCCGATGGCGCAGGCGAGCACGGAGCAGCATCTGTGATGAGCGATCGCCAATGACTGCCGGTCTGGTAATATTTATAGCGGCAGCTGTCAGAATTTGCCAAGCTCACATCTGGCGATATTTATTGCAAAACCCCGACAAGCACCCGCGATCGACCGGTGATACACGATTGGCCGCTGCCGGAGAATTCAGGATGCAAGGTTGAGAAACAGGCACAGTAGCGTGGTCTGACCCATGTACTCGTCGTGCCTTGCGGCACCCCAGAGTCCCCTAACAAAGTCGCTGTGGGGGGCGCTATTGAGATGCGCAGAGTAGGGGCCATCGGCCAGTGGGCCAATCAACGTGCGTATTAGACGCGGCACAGAGGCTTCTGTTGACCCGAGAAGCGCGCTGCAGCAATACCAGACGAGACTCTGATTGGCTGTCTTCCCCAAAATGGAGCACCATGAGCGCCCCACTCGCAAGCTCGCCGCCGGTGTCTTTTTTTAAATCTTCATGGCATGGCTGGTGGCAGCCAGATAGGCGCGGCCCGCTACGACGGTGGCCATCAGCTGCGCCGTGTCTGATTAGGCGGGCGCCCATTTGGGTAAGATGAAGGAAGGCCTGGAGAATGGGGGGAGAAGAGGAACAGGAGATGAGAATGAAGAAACAAGAGTAGCTGGGCGTCGTTGCGGATAGCAGAGTGAGACATTTTGCTGCACCTCTTGATGCATGTCTTATTATTACCCAGCAGCTTTTTTGTGTCCAACACCCCCCCTAAAAACCAAAGACATTCGGTCTCGCTTCGCTAAAGTCGCCGCGACCAGCTTCCTTTGCCGCTCCAAGGGGATGGCATCGAAGAATAGGGCTTGACCAACGATGCAGAATATTTCCTTTTCTTTTCTTTTCTTTTTCTTCTGAAGATTGAAGGGAGAAAAAAAGGGCTGTTTGTCAACTTAATTCGCTGTTGGTTGCTGGCAAATTACACGGCGTTGGGTGCTAATGTCGGCGCTTTTCCCAGCTGCCCTGTTTTCGGCACAAGACGCACGCGTCGCCAAAGCATTAGCTGCGCGGAGGAATAGGTCCTTGTGCTGCTACCAGTACTCATGTGGCGTGGCGTGTTGCTAATTATCGCTAGCCATTGCCGATCAGGCGACGCTTGCTGCGCTCGCTGCCCTTTTCTCGTCAAATCTCGCCATGAGGCCAGTTGGCACAAACGACAAAAATGTGCGCGTATAGTGATTGCCAAGGTATTGTTATTACTACCTTGAGTGCAAGCAAGTGCTAGCTAACATGGTATAGATATCACCAGAGTCATGGCATTTCGTAATATGTGCTCAGCCTCAAGACAAGCCATGCCACGACACTGTCTCAGCTGTCTGCATTTCGGCTCTGCGCCGTTTTGCCAATTAAGCCCCTGTCATGCGCTACAGCTTTGCTGGGAACCCGCGTGGCACTAATGCAGGTGTGGCGGTGCGCCTGGATGGCTGGGCCTCCGAAACTCTAGATTTGATCTAGAAATGCTAAGCGGCGCCCAATCGTGGGGGGTTTCTTGTTTCAACGGCAGGCTGAAGCCGAGTGCTTTTTTACCAATTGCCCAGCAGCATGCTGACAGATGGTGAGTCGCTTCATTGCCCGTTTCAAATAATATAATAACGATCCACCGGGCACGTATAATGACAAGCTAAATTACTGCCTTAATGGTGCGCTGCAAGACAGATGGATTAGCATCGCTCCAACTTCTTTTAAAGTTTAGGCCTACATAGCCTGAAACAGTCACAGCTTGCGAGGGAGGATTTTCCGGCTCAGCCGCAACAACTCGCCTGTCATTGCCATTCTGCGTCGCCTGATTCATGGAGTAGCTCTTTGAAAAGAGCATTGCGCAATAGATTCTATCGCATGCACCCGGACGCGGCGCCATGCATTGCTGCCCTGCAGATGAGCGAACGAGATTGATGCCACCTACCTGAGGTAAATTTTTATGGGCAGTAGTAGTAATGTGCAGCAGTTGGATGGTGGCAACGCCCTGTACTCCGTGCGATATGGGCTCTTCGGACACTTCCACAGTGGAGCACTCCTTATCGATATGTGTGGGTCTCTGCCGGCATCCTCCACCCCGCCAACATTTTCTCGACTGCTGCCCATTGCAAGGTATTTCCAATCCAATAAAAACACAGCTATATCCAACAGCACCATGGATCCCACGCTGCTAATTGGCGATATCGTCGAGCGAGACCAAAAGGTTGCCAAACCTGTCGAGTTCCCTTCGGGCTCCGTCTCCTCGACCGGATTTCCTCAGCACAAAAGGCGATGGAAGCCTTCGGCGTTCAAGCAGCAGCGAAATGGCGGTCCCTCAAACGAGCCATCGACGTCACAGCCGAAGCAATCACAGCAGCAAGACCAGTCGCTAAGCTTTGACGAAGCTGAGAGACGGCGCATAGATAACGAGAACCAGCAAAAGATTAGTGACATGACACCGCAAGAGATTTCACAGGCGCAAGAGGATATCATGAAGGGTCTGAACCCGGCGCTTATACAACGCCTGCTCCAGAGAGCTACCATTGATGAGCCCGACGCAAATTCGCCGTTCAACATACCGGAGCCCCAGAAACCAGAGGCTACTCCATCGCCTTCGCCTCCCGAAATCCGCGTCGATGATTTGTCAAAAGCTGTTACCGTTGAAGACGATACTGCAGAGACGGTCGAGCCAGAATCAAAACCCAAACCCACAACTGCTCCCGCAGCTGCCATCCAGGCCAAGTCAACCAAGAAAATCGCTGACAACTACGATGAAGATCGTGCACCATCCCAAATCCCGCCCGACCTCTTCCCAATCACTGATCTCCCAAAATCAACTCATTTTCCCGTCCCGCCGAGCCTCCCGGACTTAAATCCTTCCGATCCTAATTTCCTCGCCACTCTTCACGAGAAATACTTTCCCAATCTCACTGCCGACCCCAGCAAGCTGGCTTGGATGGCACCAATTCCTACTGAAGATAGTCCTGCCGACAAAGACTCATCGTACTATCCCCATCCCGAGATCAGCGTTTCGGCCCTGCGATTCGACTTCCGTGGACGCTTCCTTTCGCCGCGAGTTAGCCGGTCGATTCCCTCGTCTATTGGACTGCATCATCACGGAGAAGCCCCCGAAGCCGCCGGCTACACTATTGCGGAACTTGCTAGACTGGCAAGAAGTGCCGTCCCTGCGCAGCGCTGCATAGCATTCCAAACTCTGGGCCGCATTCTGTATCGGCTGGGGCGCGGTGAATGGGGAACCACGTTGAACCACCCCATTGCCATGGGAGTTTGGACCGCCATAAAGGAGGGGCGGGTGCTGGAGAGTCTAACTGAGGCGAGCATGGGCGAGGGCGGCCACAGGGGCAGCCGGGCGTACGCCGTGGAAGCCCTGTGGTTATTCGAAAAAGGCGGATGGCGGGAGAAGCTGCAGGTGAGGTAGTGCAGAGAAGGAAATGGGGCGCTTTCAATGATACCAATATGTTATGATTTCTACCAACACGCAAAGTTTATTACCATGGCATTCATCTTTGGAAATTACATATTAAATAGCGCTTAATTGGCTTCTAAGTAGGGAAAGCTATCTATTAGGTGCATGCAGAATATGTGATGGGAGATGAACTTGCGCTGCTAAAATTAGCCCAGGTGTGAATATTCTCCGTAAGCCAGGTACCTCAAGTGTCTACGACTAACAAGTATCTATGGAGTACTGAAGTTTACACACGCTTCCTCATACTGTAGTATGTTGACATGTATGATTCTCGAATGCAGCTAAAACACCTACACAAAAGGCCATATGACGTGTACAAACAATTTAATCTATTTCGTGTGTCTAGCCCACGAGACCAAGTGGGATGTACGTGAGTTGTCCGCAACCACTAGGTTTTGGAACCTGGGATCCTACATGCACCTTTTTCCTTGATGCGGCAATCTAGCCGCTGGGATACTGCCTTGTGGAAAAAATACAATAACAAATGGCAGCTCAATCTCCATTTTTTATTGTATTTTATTTTTCTTGTTCAACTGCATGGGGCTTAATGCGTGTCATGGGGTGTCGAATTAGAGACCTTGTGTGATGTGAAATGCCAGCAAACGCGTGCTGCACGTCTATCACTGCAGCTGGTGCCTTATCTGGGGTGAGATGCAAGCCCGATCAAGGAGATGAAGAACGTGACGAATTGTAAGAAGTAGCCACAGTTATCATGAACAACCATGCAGCAAGTAGCAATGCCTCTTGTGTAATCATGTTAGTTAGCCTTTGTCAAGATGTAATTATTTACATATTAGACCAACAATGTGTATCATGATTGTCCAGCGTCAGTGACTGGCTGCTCGCTCACAGTGCCAATGGCAGTTGATAACAGCCTTTATTCAGATTGATTGGCTGGGCAAGCCCGGGCACCAATAGATTCCTTCCCAAACCCAGGGATTTGCTAGCCTTTAGCGTGGCGCTGGGGACTTGGCTTTTTTCCCTCGCTGTCTTCCCCCTAACTACTACTAAAGCCTTGAACCTTGCGGCGGCAGCGGTGGGGTCAGCCAGGAAAAAAATGGAAAAAAAAAAAAAAATCAAAAAAACATCGCCCACACTTTTGCCGCCACAGGCCTCTCTTCTTACTTTTTTTCCCTCCCAGCCCACAAGCAACACGGCACCGCCGTCGCCAGCCAATTTGTCTCCCCTCGCCTTGGGTGCTTGCAATCATCTTCTCTTCTCTCTTCTCGCTCCATCTTGTGCTTTTGGACTCTGTCGTTTTTTCCATTTTCCTGTCAGCGCGTCGTCGACTTTGTTTTCTTCTTGCCTCCCCTGGTTTGAACAATCTTGACGCCGCTGTTCCGCTCGTGCCCGTGCCCGCCGAAACGCCTTCGATCGACAAGGCAGTGACGCTTCCTCCCACCACATCACGACAAAAACGACCGCAAGAGACAAAGCACCGGTCCTCGCCGACACCGAAAAAAGAAGTCATCCTCTGGCATCTTTTTTTTCTTGCTGCAAAGATTCTCAGCATCAATAATTGCTATTGTTGCTGGCGGAACGGAAGCGCGATATCTATCCACTTCCACCGATTTTTCCCCTTTGACGCCCGCTGTCTGTACAGCCTGTCAGGATCTTCTGCAGTGCGGAGAGTTCCCATCATCTCATCAAAACAAACCCCCCTTTTTTGGCTCGCCTGCGCAATCACCCGCAGATAGCGAGGAAAAGACTTTGCGGTTCAATTGATAGATACCGACAAGAAGCCAAGACAAGAACACTTGATTTTGCAATCCCGGACCAACTGCCATTTTCAACCAAGGAGATTTTCTGTGACTTTGACTAGCCATGGCACCTCCTTTGCAGTTCGCCTACCGAACCCAGAAGACCATTGGCGTCTTTGACGCCGCTCCGGTCTACGAGCCCCTTTCTGGGTTCACCAAGCCCGAGGGAAACCTGCGGTGCTGTGCCTACTCGCCTTGTGGCCGCTACTTTGGCTGGGCAACGCCCGAGGCCGTCAGCGTCGTCGACACCGCCAGCGGCCAATCAGCCCTGAACCTGCCCATTGCCAACGTCTACGAGCTCGGCTTCTCTCCCCAGGGCACCTTTCTCATCACCTGGGAGCGCCCGGCCAAGGACGAGGCCGGCGATGCCACCAAGAACCTCAAGGTTTGGCGCACCGTCGAGGAGGGTATTGACGCCTCCGCCAAGCAGCCCGTAGGTCAGTTCGTCCAGAAGCAGCAGGGCAACTGGAACCTGCAGTACACCGACGACGAAGCCTACTGCGCCCGTCAGGTCACCAACGAAGTGCAATTCTTTGAGAGCCATGACCTCGTCACAGTTTGGAACAAGCTGCGTGTCGAGGGAGTCACCCAATTCGCCCTGGCCCCTGGCACCCAACATGCCGTGGCTGTCTTTGTCCCCGAGCGCAAGGTAAGTCCTCACCAATCAGGATTCCTGATCATCCAATGCGTCTCTGCTTTCACCATCCTAACATTTTATTTTTCTCGTCTAGGGAGCACCCGCCGCCGTCAAGGTCTTCAACGTGCCCGCATTCCAGAACCCTATCTCTCAAAAGACCTTTTTCAAGGGAGACAAAGTGCAGCTGAAGTGGAACAAGCAGGGATCCAGCATTTTGGTCCTGGCTCAAACTGACGTGGACCGATCCGGCAAGAGTTACTACGGAGAGACGACGCTCTATCTGCTGAGCACCAACGGCTCTCTAGATGCTCGCGTGACACTAGATAAGGAGGGTCCCATCCACGACGTCTCGTGGTCGCCTTCGTCTCGACAGTTTGGCGTGGTATATGGTTACATGCCTGCTAAGACGACCATTTTCAACGACCGCGGCGTTGCGGTGCACTCGTTCCCCCTTGGACCCCGCAACACCATCACCTTTTCGCCCACCGGCCGATTCGTCCTCGTTGCCGGTTTCGGCAATCTTGCTGGTCAGATTGACGTGTATGATCTGGAAAAGGACAACCGGAAGATCTGCACCATCGAGAGTGGTAACCCCAGTGTGTGCGAATGGAGCCCCGACAGCCGCTACATCATGACGGCTACGACCTCACCTCGTCTGCGCGTTGACAACGGTGTCAAGCTGTGGCACGTCACCGGCGGACTCATGTACAGCGAAGATATGATTGAGCTGTACAGCGTTCTGTGGCGACCTGCTACCGAGGAGAACATCGAGGGCGGCGATCCGCTCAGCCCTGTTCCTGTTGCGCACGCGTCGGCGGCGACATTCCTCAGCAATGTCAAGGCTCCGAGCAAGCCTGCCGGAGCCTACCGACCACCAGGTGCTCGTGGACTGGCCACACCCCTTCACTTCAAGCGCGAAGATGAGGGTGGCGCTGCTCACGTCGTTAGCAATGGAACCCAAAATGTGAACATGAACGGATTTGGTAGAGCGAGACGTGCCGTTCCTGGCGCTGAGCTGGCTGAGACCCCGGCCGTTCGGACCGTGCCTGGAGCGGAACCTGCCGAGGATGGCGCCGCCAAGAAGAACAAGAAGAAGCGCAGCAAGAAGAACAACCAAGGCGATGGTAAGCTCGAGCCCGAACCTAACGGAGGAGCCAGCCTTGCCCCACCGCCTCAGGACCATGAGGGCCGCAGCCCGGATAGGCGTGGAGTGGCCGGCGGCAACCAGAACGGCCGCGGATTCAGGAGCCGCTCTCGAAACAACACGGGGCCTCGTAGCCGAAGCAACACCCAGCAGGGTGGCCCTCGAGGACAGAATGGCAACCAAAACGGCCAGAATGGACACCAGCACCACCACTCCGGACCTCCTCCCAATGCTCCCACCGAACCTGCAGGATCACAGAATCCCAATGCCAAGAAGATTCGCAGTCTTCAGAAGAAAGTTAGGGCCATTGAGGACCTGGAGATGCGCCTTGCTGGTGGTGAGAAGCTCGAGGATACTCAGCTTAAGAAGATCCACACCAAGACGTCCGTTATCAAGGAGCTGGACTCTCTAGGTGGCGAGTCTTAGATGCGTTGAACAGATTAGATGGACATGGAGGAGGAGATGCATAGGAGACTGAGGGTTAACATCAGAAGCAAGAAGCAAGAAATGGATTTTTATTTTTGTTTTGTGGAATTGGGCGTCCCGTTGACCGGCATTCTTCGGCGGTGGCTTTACATGGTATGCAACACTTCGGTTAAGGGCTGTTACTGAGAGGCCAAGGTTGAGAGGAAAAGCGACAAAAGGATAGTGGCTGAGGAGACCTCGGGAATTTGGGGTTTTTTGTACACCGTTGCAACGCGAAAACATTTCTTGGACAAAGAGAGAAAAGGAAAAGGGATAGCAATGCTTGCATCGAAGGAACTCTCTCGGGCCACTGTTGCCGAGGCAAGTAAAAGGGTTTTTCTAATTGTCGGTAAATAAATAGTTGAGGGAAATAGGAAGAAACTTGATATATACACGCCTGGTAAGGTAGGCGGTATATCATTTCTCTTGAGGGATTGCTGCTCTGGAAAGAGTATTTAGATCCGTGGGGTTACGTCGACAAAGGAAAAGGGGCCTGCTGAAAGGACGCAGGTTGTTGGCAAAATGCCATGGTGCATAATACAAAAACGTACATGTTGAGTTTGAGAAGATTGTTTATTTTTGGTGATGATTTAAGCAGAATGTGTGAAGTGTTCTCTGCATGTTAGAGCAGTAGAGTCTGAGTCGTACTTTGTATACGTGAAATTTCTATTACTATATGATGTTGCGGCTCAATGTCTGCACTTTGATATACGCATGCTCTATAATAGTGGTTCTAGTCAATATGATCTGCTATCATGCCGAGGAAATCCATCCCTTTCCTCCATCTTGGAATCCCCCGAATTGGTCGCTTTCGACGCCGTTTTTGCAAGTGACGATCTCTCTCCCAGTCGCTCCCCATATAACGCGCTGCTGGTGTTGTAAAAGGTATGCCCTTCTTCAGCACTGGCTATTCCATTCAACTGATGGCCATCAGAAGACCCGTCATGCCCATTCCGTTTATCATTCCTGTTAGATAGGGCCCTGCTCTTCTTCAAGTCCTTCTCGAAGAAGAAATACTCGAGGCTCTTGTCGAAGACTTCCCTCGCCGCCACAGCCAACAATATCACAGCGGTAGTCTGGCCGAAATCCCACTCATTTTCATATCCGTCTCCTTCCAACTTGCCCTGGTTAGCAGACCGCAAAGCCAGCGCCATGTATAAGTGGACGGGGAACTGCAAGAATGCAAGGACAAGGATGGTATGCCGCCAGCGAGCACCGGACAAGGCAGCGGCCATCATGACGAGGATCATCCAAGAAGCAGTAAACGAGACGTAGACTTTGTCGCTCATCGGATGAGGTGCGCCGGAGCTGGTGACGAGGTGCGAGAAGTAGCAGCGGCCTGGGCGCTGGTCGAGGGCCCAGTCATCGAGGGCGACGCAGAGCAAGATGGTGAGGACGAGATAGAGCGAGGCGAAGAGGTATGTTGCGCGGTGGCGAGGCGTGAAATGGGGGGAGCGGAAACAGGCGAAGTGCCGCTCGAAGAGATGATGGGCCCAGTCGTGGGCGTGAGAGGAGCGGTGGAGGCGGACGTCGCAGTAGGTCCAGCAGACGAGGGCGGCGGCGCTTGAGACTCTGAGTTGACTCTGCGTTAGTTGTATGAAGGAGATAGGAGGTGTAGTTATAGGAAGACGCAAGGAGAGAAAGAAAAGGGGGGAGAAGAAAGACTCACCCAACGAAGCTGACAATGTCAAACACCAGATGCAGATGATACGTATCCATCTTCTCAATGTTGGAAAAGGCCGAGATCATGTACGACGTGCCGACGACCATCTGGATGTCGTTGCCGACCATGAGGATGTCGGACACGCACTCGAGGCGCTTCTGCTCAATGGCGAACTCGATGCTCTCGGGCGCGTGGCCGCCGTGGAAGAAGGAGCCGTGCTTGGAGAAGAAGAAGGCCCAGACGGCGAGGCAGAGGGATATCACGGCCTGGCCGACGAAGCCGACGATGATCTAAAATTGATTGTTTAGTTCTTGTAGATTGAGGAGGAGGATGTGAGTGTGACTAACACCGATGCCGGCAATGTCTGATCTGGTCTCGCCGACGAGGATGCATTCTGGGGAAGCTCTTGATTGGAGAAGAGTCATGGCTTTTGTATTTATAAATTCGAATCTAAGTCTGGAATGTAGCAATGATGATAGGTTGGCAGACAGTCAAAGCCTCCTGCTTGAGCTACAGCTGAAGCTTCAGAATCAACATTGAGATTATCTCATGGCTACAGCCAAGCTCTATACAGATATACAGCGAGAGGTAATTTTCTTAGACGTAAATAGAATAAGATGCAATAAAAAAAAAAGAAGAGCTCTGAATGTGTCATTGATCTCAATGGTTGGTATGCGCGCGCTTCTTTGGACAATTGAGGCTTGTTCGTCTTTGCTCTGTCATTGGATGCTAGCACAAAGAGGCGTGATCAGGCTTCAATTGAAACTCAAATTGTTGGTCTGATGCCTTATCCGTCTAGTGCCTTGATCGTTTTTAATTCATTTCTATTTACTGTTGTCATTTTTTTTTTCTAGTCGTTGGCACAAAGAAAGAGATTGAAATGTGTAAGCGGCAGTAAGCAGTGACTGGAGTTGAAGTTGTCGTGTAAGACATTGAGCGAGATGTGTGGCTGCATCAATAAGAACTAACGTTTTAATGTCTAAGATAAATTTTGGGGGATATTTGAGCTTAAAATTGCGATGCAGCTGGATCAATCGGTTAGATAATAACTGAGGAAGAATACCTAGGTAGTCAAATCTTTGTTTGCGACTTCGTTCACGCTGTCCTCTGCATTACGTAGAATTAGCTCAACGCATGGCTAACAACAGAGAATGAAACTTGCTGTTGATGTGTTTTAAGTCAGTTGTTTCTGATGCAGCTGATCTAGTGACAAGCCCACACGGTTCCGCTTGAAAGATATTTATGGGCACTGAAGATTCAGAACATATGGAAGATGATTGCATAGCACAAGGCGAAACCAACTGATAGACGACTACTCACAAGTCAAATCGAAGTACATGGCACTCGAGGAGTGTCTATATCGCGAAACGTCTCATGTGTCCATCACAGTTCAACATTCTACTAAACCACTACCATTTGCCTCCAATTATCAACAGGGAAGTTATTATTCTTTACATCTCATCCTATTTGCTTATAACGACACTCATAATTGATAAATCACAGTACAGCCTGATCTTGTAAAGCTTGCACGTTGCCTGCCTCTCTCGACCAATTGTCTCCCGATTGTCCAATAGCCAATCCCTATGGACGAACCTCACGCTCTTCGTAAACACCTGCCGTATTAATGAACATTCCAAACAGGAGCGCGATCAGGTGCCATGGCCTGTTCCTTGACCATTCGCCATTGAGTCTGCATCAATGCTGACTGCTCAATCGCATACCAGAAGCCGGCCGCTGCACCAAACACAGATTAATTACAGACCATCAGTGACCCCAGAAATGCGAACCTAGAGTCATTGTTCAACTCCGCAACATATAGACCCAATACTGATATTGCGAAGTTTTGTTGCAGTCTATGGCATGAACGTGAGCGACTCCGATGGCCACTCTGAGAATACCTGGACAGAAGAATAGTCGATTACAAACTGGTTGAGATCTTCTGCCTGAAGCCCTTCCAAGAGCCCGAATCCTAGCATACCAGTACAACGCAAATGTTATATTCAGAGCTACTTGCGCCGTCAATATCACAGGCTACAGCCCAAATATGGGCACACGCAATGACAGTGATACATTCTGACGGTGAAGTTACGTTCCATACTGTTGCCCATGGAGGGAATTAGACAACTAGATCATTAGAGATGTCTATGGGCCCGTTCTCTGTTCAGCAAAGCGTCCATCAAAGGCGGCTCACTCTTTCCAGGGGCTGTGAGGCTACATGTCGAGCTGCATGGTGAAGAGATGAGAGCCAGAGGTGAATTCTTTTTCTGGGGGGTTCAGTCAATTCTTGCCATGCGTAATTTCGTCCCCGGGATAGCTCTCTTTTCTATTTTCAATAATTTCCTCCCGTATGCAAACACAATTATGGAAACGGCAGAATGCGCACGGCAAGACCAAAACGCACTTGTTGAGTTCCAGCAGCAAGCTATCGAGAGGCTTGATTCCAACAGAGGCGGTATACTAGAAGCCGCTGTCAGGCTTCAGTTACCCTTTGCGCACGGAGAGTTGCCACCAGCCGGACTGCTTGCTTGTACTTTCTCAGCAGCTCAGGCCAACTATCAGCGATATAGAGAGCTGATATCGCGCAATACCTGAAGAAACAAGGAGATTGAGGATGATCAAAGACAGCCAGAGAGAGGCACAAGGTACGGACGATCGGCAAGTCTTTGAGCTGCTTGGCAGGTATGCGTCAGAGGATGAGATAGACTGCCAAATGCACCAAGCATAGAAGCTTCGAATGGCTGTCCCGCTTGCATTATACTCTCATATAGATGAGATGCCAAGGCGGTGTGAGGTCAACAGAAAATCTACATTAATTGACTAATAGCCCACAACAATTCATTGACACTCACAGCCTGAGTTATGGAAAATGCTCAAGCGCTTGAGAATCTGCTTTATTTACACATTATTAGAGCATAGTACGTTGAGGCATCTGAAACTCCCAGCTTTTCGTAGCAGGTTTATAGAATCTACATGTACCTTTTTTCTATCCCTTTTGCTAGATTTCGTCATAGCATATGCATCACGCCCCAAGCATTGGAAACATCACTCGCCAAAAGTAAGGAACAACACCTTGTCGTTATTGTAATCAAATCTACCAGTTACTCTAACGAATGTCATGAAATAAATACATGTGACTTTTCTTTTTAGCATCATCAATCTCAAAACAGGCGTTCCTTCACATGGCCGCATCTCTAGGCTGCGAATATGAATCCACGGTAGTTCGCGTCAATCGCCTCTTGACAAGCATTGACATACGAGTGGAAACCTCCCAGACTCCACAGCACGTGTCTGCTGCCATCCTTGGGCGCTCGAGGCGTGTTGTGGTCGCTGAAAAAGTACGAGTTTCCCTTGTGGAAGACGGTTGCCGCGGCAATGGCGTTGATCTGCTTCACCCACTCGTCTTCGTTCTCCTGAACGGTGTCGACCACAATCGGCTTGCCGGTCTCCTTCTTCAGCTTCTCGGCCTTGGAGATGAGCTGTCCGAGGAACTCGCCCTGGAAGACGGCAATCGACGGGATGCTGGCGAGCGGCGTCTGCGGTCCAATCATGTAGAAGAGGTTGGGGAAGCCCGCCTTGGAGACGCCCAGGTAGGCGGTTGAGCCCTCGACGTACTTGTCGGACAACTTGCCGTTGGGGCCGGTGATGTCGATTTCGGCCCAGCTGCCGTCCTGCTCGTAGCCGGTGGCGTAGACGATGACGTCCAGCTCGTACTCCTTTTCTGAAGTGCGGATGCCCTTTTCAGTGATCTCGACCAGGGGCGTCTTCTTGAAGTTGACAACATCCACGTTGTCGTTGTTAAAGGCCTCGTAGTAGCCGGCACAGCAAACTGGTCGCTTGTCCCAGAGCGCGTCCTTGGGCGGGGAGAGCGTCTCGCGCTTCTTGGGATCCTTGACAATCTTGTCAATCTTCTTCTGGATAAAGCGGCACACTTCTCTGTTTGCCGCCTCGTCTGTCACAACATCCGCGAATGTGTCAAAAGTCATGGAGAAGCCCCAGACAGAGTTCCACGCCGCCTCGAAGACCTCTTCTCTCTCCTCTGGGCTAACGTCAAACGTCTTTGTAGTCTTGACGTCGTAGCCCCATCCCAGCGGGCACTTTCGGACCTTGGCCCAGATATCGTCGTAGGTCTTGTTGACTCTGTCTCTGTATTCGGGTGGGACGATGCTCTTGCTGTTGGGAACGACGTATTGCGCTGAGCGTTGGAACGAGATGACCTGCTTGGCCTCGTCTGCAAGACCGACGAGCAGTTGAGCGCCTGAAGAGCCGGTTCCAATGATTCCGACTCGCTTGCCTCGCATGTCGCGATGCTCGGGCCAGAGTCTGAGAAGTCAGCAGTTGGTTCTCAAGTATATGGTTTAAAAGTAGTATTCGCTTCAAAGAGACCGAAAGACTCACCCTGTGTGGTACTGTTGACCCTTGAATTTGTCCTGGCCAGGGAAAGTAGGCCAAACGGTCTTGTTGAATGTTCCTACAGCAAGAATCAAGTATGTTGTCTTGAAGGTTTCGCCTGTAGAAAACTTGACAGTCCATGCAGCCTGGTCAAAGGATGCAGACTTGAGCTCAGAAGAAAAGTGAATGTGCTGCCTCAAGTCATAATGATCCACAATGTGCTTCAGGTAGCCCTGGATTTCTTGTTGAGGAAGAACATGGTTTGGCCATGGGTAAGTCTGCAAGTTGTCCTTGTCCCAGCTAAATCTGTAGAGTTCACTAGGAGTATCGCTGGCTGCGTTCTGGTATTTGTTCCAGTACCAGACACCGCCAACTTCAGGGGCCTTTTCAAATAGCTTCGCATTCAGCCCTTGTTGTCGAAGTTGATACAGGGCGCTGATTCCTGAGAATCCAGCGCCAACGACAATGGCATCAATTGACGACATTGTGGAAAGCAAACAATGGCTGAGCAAGTCGGTATGGGTTGTTCAATACGTCAAGTACTGATTGTGTTCCTCAAGCCAGGAGATTTGAAAGGGCAGGCGCAGGTATATATATATATGTTATAAGGAGAATTGATTTGCCTCGACTAGACACCCAAACTTATGACTCTGGAGGATTAGCTGCACACCATTCGATTTAAATGCAGATGGGCAATGCCATAAGGGTCTTCAGGGACTATTTGCTTGACAAAACTGTGCGTGGGTCTCGTGTTGAGAAGGTATTACATCCTGAATTAGGCAATGATATTACCTCAAATAACTATTAAGCCCTTGCAAGATCTGACTGTGGGTCACTTGTTATAAACACCTAAACGGCAGAGTTGCAGCTAATATACTATTTGTACTTTGTATAATTTCCTCTACTACGTAGCAGTTACTCGAATCCTTTGCAAACTAATAGCAATATTTTTCACAGCCTGGATTCGTAGGGCAAGTTGTAAAGTCCTTCGACTGTCGCGGGAATCCATGCATTGCCTAATGAGGGAGATATCTGCGCGAAGGGTCAATATCTACGCGGAACATAAATATCTACGCGGAGCGTAAGCTTAAGTGGGTTGCCATTGAATAAATAAGCGTTTCATTCCGTTTTGAGAATGCAGATATTACTATAAGACGCTTATTTGCAGTAGCTGCGCGGGAACTTGGCTTGTTGGTTTATCCTTGCAAGACTAAACTGTGGGTTCTTTAGCATTTACACCAGATTTATAAACCCGTTTTATATAAGTATTAAAGGAACTCATAGAGGAACAAGGATAATACTAAATGCTATTATGAAGTAAATAATTCATTTAAAGGTATGTAGTACTGAGGTTTATAATATATATATTATCACCTTTCCCACATGCATGTGAGGGATATATTCTCTTATATGTTTATGTTAATGTAATACTATGTGCTATGAAACATTTTTAACAACACAACTATGTAAATGAGAGTCAGCTCTAAAATAGCTTCAGCAGAATGTCTCAACTTACTAGCTCAAGATGGCAATGCAGGACAGTCGGTGAATTGGAGTTGAAATGCTTTGCCATTACAGATTCATGACTCAGCCAAACCAAACAACAGCCACCTAGATACGCTACAGCAACTGATAGGCCTATATAAACAGGCTATTTGGCAATTAGATCCTTCAAGGAGTTAGTTTAGCGTTCTATAGCTACCCTAAGGAATTAGAGTAAAAGAGGCAGCACTCGATCCCATCACTCTGAAAGTTTCCACTTGAAGGATTCATTTTGAAGAATGCCAGCGCAGATTCCAACGAACAACCGTCCACTAGACTTGTTATGAGTACACCCTTAACACGAACCACAAGTTTAAATTATTTGCCTATTCTTGTTTTGGTCGAGTAGCTATGCCTTATAGACTCTGTACACTTGTATCATGACTGGCACTTTCTGCTATTCTACATGACCATGTTAGTGTAAGCTTAGTCAGTCAGTAATAAGCCAACAACATGTCCATGTTTATTAACTGTTAGCGTTGAATGGCGTAATTGTTATATCGTCTTCTTGCACCTATTTGCATAAGCGGAAGGAATGCGCTATCAGCACGTTCCCGGTGACTTAACGTTCGATAACTAAATGCACAGGTAAGCCGGCAACTGCATCCTTGAAGCAGGTCCGATGTAACGTCGATTACAAGCTAACACGGCTGATGCTGCTTACCGCCAAAATGAAATGTCAGAATCAACCAGCATCTCTCTCCCTTGGCATGCAGTAGCGCCAGCTAACCTGATGATAGAATTCTTGTCGACGAATCACTGGGAGAGGAAAAGAAGCCGGACTGATTATCCGCCCCAGCCCTGGCAGATTGAGGATTGCGGATACTGTACGATTACAAACAGCTCACTGCAATGTAGAATCGGGATCTTGTATACCGTTGTGAAAAGAGCCAGAAAAAGGAAGAAGAAGCATCAAAACAGGGACTAAGAGAGTGAAGGCATGTCCCTTTGATGAAGTAGCTAACATCACGAAGCGGTGTACTCAATAGCCTTTCTCTCTTGCTCCTAGCCTTGTTCCTAAGAGTGAGTTTCTGATTGTTCGCAAGGTAGATTGTCTACTATCTAATACGATCCTCCCGCAACGCTATTACGATAGCACAAGATTAGGCACAGCTGTGGCAACTGTCATACGGGATCGTGCTTAGAAGAGACGGGCCGCATCGCGCTGATCTGCAAGACATCCCCTGTGAGTTATGAGGAAAACGGCGGGAAATGCTCATTGATAGAACTTTTTAGGGTTATTGTTTTCCTAATTGTTTTCCCAAAGGGATTTCCGAGATGTCTCTACAATTTTCTTCTTTGGCTTTACTTGTCAAGCGGTCTGCAAAGAAAAAAAAAAAAAAAGCGAGACTAGAGAGATTCTGAGCATACAAAGTGGTTATTATGCACATACGAAGGCTAAGATCAGCCCGCGCCAACGGTGCTCCTGCTAATGAATTGTACCGGAATATTACTTTTGCATTGTTGCAGACCGCTTCTGTGTGTACCTTATTATATGAAGAGACGAACTCTCCAAGTTGAACCGCTACCGTGTCATTTATAGCGTTTAGGGCCGTTGAGTCCTGTGCACGGACTGATGGCTGTCCGAGTAAGAACTATATTCTAGAATCTGGATATGCGGCTCGCAAAAAAGCAGGGACTTGAAATCGATCAGCACAAAGGGATGGGCACATAACTCCGTCGCCGCAAGGGTTGCCGAAAGATTTTCCCGCTTGACAGCCCATGACAGGGCTTTGTCATGTAATCAACGTGGAAGAGAGTGACTAATGTCGAGCTTGCAACAGATTTCTGAATGTAAATATATTGCTAAAGTTTAACATAATATTTTTTTTTTCGACAGTTCTATTACATTGTCACCGTTCTTCTAGCATGCAACAATTTAATTACAAAATTCTAGCGAGAAATGAATGATTATAATATCCTATTCTATGACCAGAAATCAAATCCTCTTGCTCCTGTCACGGCTTGCGATTTATCGTGCTTTTTCTTTAACACCAACAATGTTCATCTTCATTAATGTTACTGCGGCAGCCACCTATAGTATAACAATACGCGAATACTGATCGCCGCTTGTTATAGTATCGCGCGTTGAAGTACCTAGACCGAGAATGTTATATGTATTCGCTGTATAGTGTCTACCTCTATAACTCTATCCTCTTACAAGCCTCTTGGCCAACTCGGCAAAAAGAAACAAAGAACGGCGAAAATTGCGCTCTTCTGTCGGTGTCCACTGACTCTCTCCTGTAGGTTCTGTTTCCATCTCAATGTAATATCGACACACCCCTCCGCATAAACTCCACTCACGACTCTCCAGCCACGCGGCAAAGTCCCCCAATCGCCGGTAGCCAAAACCTCGGTACCAACAGAAACCCACGCCTCCGACCTCATCTACCCGTAAATCTCGGGCCTTGCTTCGGGCTGCCGTCGAGAGGGGCTGACAGAAGCCGCAAAGACATCAAAGCAGGTCGTTGAAAGCAGCACAGCAGAGCAGAAAAAAGGCCCTTTCTCACAACTTTCTCACTTGCAGTGGCTCTTCCCGCTCTCTCCCTCCTCCTCCACCCCATGGCGCTGGGGGCCCCCGCTAAGCGCCGAGACAGACCCGGCTAAGATAGCTGCATAACCTCAAGACGTGCCAGGGCGAGGACCGTATCATCGTGCCGACTTTGGAGATTATTGCGTTTCTCTTCCACGTGGGCCTATTTCAGCGCTGCGAGGGGGTTAATTACAAGAGTTTGTGT